GGATCGTGATTTTGTCTATGTTTGTGGATAATTGCGCACTCAGGGCCTTCTACTAAACACGATAGGTGTGACTTCAAGACGCTCTCAAGGCCTTCTTTTAGACACGGTTGTATGATAAACACGCACTGCGCCCTTGCTTAAACACACGATTGAACACTACGTTCCTTTTCTATTCACTTCTACGACATGAAAATAATGATGAGAGTACATGGGTATTTATAGGTGTAAAATAAATCTAAGCCTAGTCTAATTAGATCTCCTAATCCAAGCAATAATATAAATCCTAAGGCAAGTAAATCTCCTAACATCTTCTACTAGTAAAATCCTAATAATACTAGAAGTAAATAAAAGCAACAAGGAAATAGAATCCTAATTAACTAGAAGGTATTCAAAACTCATTTCTTTGCTTGCACTCCAAGTCGGCCGAACCCTATGCCCAACCGCCTCATTCGCGCGCCGTCCTACGACGTCATTCCTCCTCGCGCGCGGTAACACGCGCTTCGTCCATGTCGCACGCCGCCTCGCCTAGTCCCGCGCGGACCAGGACTCTCGAGCGTCCGCCTCCCACGAGCGAGACATTGCGCATGCCAGCTGCTTGTGCACCTGCTGGCGCGTTTTCACCCATCGCACGTTTGTCGCGCACGCCACTTGCTTCCGTCCCGCTCGCGCTGTTCTCCCGCGCCCCGCGCGTTGCGCCAGCGCCCATGTGCTCCAATCGTCTACCGCGCGCCCATATGCGCTAGCCACTCCGCACGTACCACCAACTCCCATGGCCTGCTCGCATGTCGCGCACTAGTGTGCACCCAGCACTGCCCGCGTGCGCTCCACCTCATTGCGCGCATCATTACCCGATGCGCGCCACTCGTCTTTTAACCGTACGCCCGACCACTCTCCGCACTCGCCAAGCATCCCATAGCAATCCCCGGCACACATCATCCACCCATCTTCCACCTCTCGCGCGCCCATTCTCTTAGCCTCTATTTGCCAAGCACGTCTTTTCCTTGCACAGGCTTTGTACCAACCGTTCATTTCCTTAGACCACGGCTTGCGTTCCCTCTTAGCTCGCTTGGCCTTGCGCCTTCTTGACCTCGGGCCACATCCTCTTGGCCAGTCTCTTCTGAAAATAGGCCAATATTCTTATATTTGTGGCTCTTCTGGCCCATGTTCTAGCCAACTCGAGGTCCTCGATCGTTTCGTCCTCGGACTCTCCGGGGTTAATAACCACTTCCGTATCATTCCCCTCCTCTTCAAGACTTTCCTTGTCCTCAAGGATGATGAAATTAAGCTTGCAGACTCGTCTATCATCTTCATCCTCATTAGGAGACTCCCCTGAATCTTCGGTCATCAACTTGATTCGCTTACTCGATTGCCCGAACTCCATAGTTCCTTTCCAATAATCGGTTGTGATTGTACCAAGAGTCTCCAACCACTGACATCCAACTACCACATCAGTCGCCTTCAATGGTAGGGCATATAGATCAACTTTCATCCTTTGTCCCTGAGCCTCCATCTTTACTCCTTTGTAAAGCAGATCTCCTCGAAGTGTCTCTCCGCTGGCCACCTTGACTCCAAAAGGCTTCATCTTTGTGAATGGAATCTCTATTTCTTTGGATAGCTCCTCATCAATGAAATTCACTGTGGACCTACTGTTTACCAATACCTCCACCAACTTGCCCCTAATTTCAGCTGTAAATGTGATCATCTTCGGGTCTTGTTTCTTACACTTGACCACATGCAGCAAAGTCTCCTCAAGTGGTTCGCTCTCATGTTCCTCCTCAAACTCCAACAAAAATACTTCCTTACCTTTACATTTGTGGCCCGGTGTAAATCGTTCGTGTTGATATGGCTCATATATTGATAAAAGAAGGAGGCAGGCTCATGCCTACGAGCGTAACAGAGTGAGGGAAGCGGAGCGAGGGAAGCGGAGCGACCGAGCGAAGTGAGCGGAATGGAGCGAGCAGACATCAGCCCTTGTTGGGCTGGGTCGATTAGTTGGGCCAGGGGTGCGGGGGCGGAGCCCTTGCGGTACGGTATGGGGTATTTAAGTAAATTAATACCTTGTAGGGTTATAGTATAAATACATGGTGTATTGATGTATTTGTGACTATTGAGAATAATAAAGATCCCTTAGCCGCCGTGGACGTAGGCACATTGCCGAACCACGTAAATCTTGTGTTGTTTACTTTTCTCGTTTTTTAATTCGTATGCCATATTGTCATCTTCACTCAACAAGTGGTACCAGATCCTGGTTGATTGGCGACGGAGATGACGGGAGGATCGAAATTTGAGGTCTCGAAATTTGATGGTCATGGTAATTTCGGATTATGGCAGACGAGAGTAAAAGATTTATTGGCACAGCAAGGAATTCAGAAAGGGCTGTGTGCAGAAAAGCCAAAGGGGATGGAAGACGATGATTGGCAAGATCTGCAGAAACGGGCGGCCGGGACGATTCGGCTGTGCCTTGCAGATGAAGTTATGTATCACGTTATGCATCTCAAATCAGCGGATGAGATCTAGAAGAAACTGGAATCACAGTTCATGTCGAAAACCCTAACGACAAAACTGTATCTAAAGCAGAGGTTATACGGGCTGAAGATGCAGGAGGGGACCGATTTAGGGAAACATGTGAATATCTTCAATTAGGTTTTCACGGATTTGGCTTCACTCGAAGTCAAGATTGAAGATGAAGACAAGGTGATGATTTTACTGTGTTTGTTACCTCCTTCTCACGAACATATGGTGACTACCCTTACATATGGGAAAGAAACGATCAAGACTGAGGAGATTACTTCAGCATTGTTGGCTCACAACCAGCGGAAACAGAAATCTGCAGAGTCATCTTCTCAAAGTGACAGTTTATATGTGAAGGGTAACCAGGATCGTGGAAGGAAAAAAAGGTGCGGGATAATTCAGGAAATCGGAATTTTAGATCTAAGTCGCGAGACAAATCGAAAGGGAGGAAAAATGTGACGTGTTATAAGTGCAAGGAACAAGGGCACTTTAAACGGGATTGCCCAAAGTGGAAGAAACAGACTGCTGATATGTCATCCAAGTCTGCGAATGTGGTACAGAATGAGGAATCTGATTGTAGTGATGGAGATGTGTTATCTATTTCGACTGCGCAGTATGATGATGCTTGGATTCTCGATTCTGGATATTCATATCATATAACGCCTAACTGAGAGTGGTTTGCTACTTATAAACCAGGTAACTCGGGTTCTATTTTTCTTGGTGATGATAGATGCTGCGGTATTGTCGGTATTGAGGATGTCAAAATCAAGATGTATGACAGAACTGTTAGGACATTGTGTGATGTGAGTTATATCCCTGAGTTGAAGAAGAATTTGATTCTTTGGGTACTTTGCATAGAAATGGTTTCATTCCCAAGGCTGATGAGGATAGGGAAACCATTAAGATTGTGAAGGTTGCCATGACTGTGATGAAGGGGAGGATCACTGCAGGGAACATTTACAAACTGTTGGGAAGTACAGTTGTAGGTGGAGTCCATTCGGTGGAGTCGTGTGAAGATAGCACGAAATTGTGGCACATGCGTCTTGGACATCTTAGTGAACATGGCATGACTGAGCTGCATAAGAGGGGGCTTCTGCATGGTGTTAAAACTTGCAAACTCAATTTCTGCAAGTTTTGTGTTCTGGGAAAGAAGACAAAAGTCAGTTTCAAGACTGGGAAAAAGAAGACAAAAAGAATTCTGGATTATGTACATTCAGATGTGTGGGGTCCTACTAGAGTGACATCGATTGGTTGTTCTGTGTACTATGTGACCTTTATTGATGATTTTTCGAAGAAAGTTTGGGTGTATTTCATGAAGCATAAATCTGAAGTTTTTGCTAAATTCAAGCTATGGAAGGCTGAGGTGGAGAACCAGACTGGTAGGAAAATCAAGTACTTAAGGTCTGATAATGGTACAGAGTACACCGATTCATAGTTCCAGAAGTTTTGTAATGAGCATGGGATTCAAAGGCATTTTACAGTGCGTAAAACACCACAGCAGAATGGTGTTTCTGAGAGGATGAATCGGACACTGGCTGAGAGGGTGAGGTGTTTAAGACTGAATGCAGGTTTGCCAAAGAGTTTCTGGGCTGAGGCTGTAAGTATGGCTTGTTATTTAATTAACAGATCACCATGTGCATCTCTGGATGGCAAAGTTGCAGAAGAAGTATGGACAGGTAATGATGTTAGTTTTGATCATTTGAAAATTTTTGGTTGTCCTGCTTATGTTCATATTCCTGCTGATGAGAGGTCAAAACTTGATGCTAAATCAAAGAGGTGCACTTTTCGGGGCTATAAGAAAGGTGTGAAGGGATACAAGTTTTGGGATCCAGTTGAGAAGAAGACGGTGATTAGTAGAGATGCAGTGTTTGATGAGCAGTCTATGTTGGGATCAGATGCAAATAAGGTACAAGTGGAGTTGGAACATGTGCCAGCAGTTCTTGATAAGGGGGAGAGTTCAAGTTCTGCACCTGATGATGTTGATCATGATGTTTCTGGCCCAACTGATATGCCAGAGAGCTACAAGTTAGCTCGGGATAGAGTGAGGCGTACCAATATACAAGCTCCGGTGAGGTTTGGTTATGAGGATATGGTGGCGTTTGCTCTTACGATCACTAGTGTGGATCCTTGTACTTTCCAGGAGGCTGTTTCTTGTGAGAATAATGATAGATGGAAGGCTGCCATGGAAGAAGAGATGAATTCTGTACACAAGAATCAGACATGGGTGTTGGATGTTCTTCCCGAAGGGAAGAGAGCTATTGGTTGTAGGTGGATTTACACAAGGAAGTCATCGGTAACAGAAAAAGGAGGGGAAAGGTTCAAGGCTCGATTGGTGGCTAAAGGATACTCACAGCAAAAGGGGATTGACTATGATGAGACATTTTCCCCTGTGGTTAGACATACTTCGACCAGGGTTGTACTTGCATTGGTGGCTAGTTGGGATTTGCATTTGGAGCAGATGGATGTGAAGACTGCTTTCTTGCATGGTGATCTCGCAGAGCCTATTTACATGCAGCAGCCAGAGGGCTTCGTTCAACTAGGGAAGAAGCATTTATTTTTTAGGTTGAAGAAATCCTTGTATGGCTTGAAGCAAGCATCGCGGCAGTGGAATATACGGTTTGATTTGTATATGGTGAAGATTGGCTACAAGCGTTGTGATTTTGATTGCTGTGTTTACACTAAGAGCCTTGGTGATGGTTCTATGATTTTTCTGTTACTTTATGTTGATGACATGCTTATTGCTGCCAAGAATATGTGTGATATTATTGATCTGAAAAGCCTTTTGAGTCAGGAATTTGAGATGAAGGATTTGGGGGCTGCGAAGAAGATTCTTGGGATGGAAATTCACAGGGATAGAGGATCAAAGAAGCTGTGGTTATCTCAGAAGGGTTATGTGGAGAAGGTGCTACAGAGGTTTGGGATGAATGAAGCAAAACCGGTGAGCACTCCATTAGCAAACCACTTCAAGATTTCTGTTGATCAGTGCCCCAAGTCGGACACGGAGACTCACGATATGGTGGAGATACCTTATGCCAGTGCTGTTGAATGTCTGATGTATGCCATGGTATGTACTCGTCCTGATTTAGCTCATGCTGTTGGTCAAGTTTGCAAGTATATGTCAAGGCCGGGTAAATAGCATTGGGAGGCAGTCAAATGGATTTTCAGATATTTGAAAGGTACTGCGGGACATGGTATTGTATTTGGAGATCAGCGGTTGGATCCTTTGGTTGTAGGATATGTAGATTCTGATTATGCTGGGGACTTGGATAATAGGAGATCTACCACTGGGTATGTCTTCACTTTTGGTGGAGGGCCTATTTGTTGGAGGCCGAATGCTCAGCCTATAGTTGCTCTATCTACAACCAAAGCAGAGTATATTGCTTTGGCTGAAGCGGCAAAGGAAGCAGTGTGGCTTTCTGGATTGGTTAGAGAGTTGGGTATTCAGCAAGGTGGAGTTCTAGTACATTGTGACAATCAGAGTGCCATTCATTTGGCTAAGAATCAGATATATCATGCTAGGACGAAGCATATTGATGTGAGGTTCCACAAGATTAAGGAATGGATTGCTTCTGATGATATTCAATTGGAGAAAGTTCATACTGAAGAGAATGCTGCTGATATGTTGACTAAGACTGTTACTTCTGACAAATTCAAGCATTGCTTGGATTTGTTGAATGTTTCTGCATGCTAGAGTTGCATTGTACCCCCGGCCTGCTTGGTGTGTCTCGCAGAGGTACTCGCTATTGTGTTCTCCTAAGGAGGTGATATATTTGCCAAGGTGTAAATCGTTCGTGTTGATATGGCTCATATATTGACAAAGGAAGGAGGCAGGCTGATGCCCGCGAGCGTAACGGAGGGAACTTAGCGAGGGAAGCGGAGCGACCGAGCGAAGTGAGCGGAGTGAGTGGAGTGGAGCTAGCAGGCATCAGCCCTTGTTGGGCTGGGTCGATTAGTTGGGCTGGGGGTGCGTGGGCGGAGCCCCTGCGGTATAGACGGGGGTGTGGGGGCAGAGCCCCCGCGGTACGGTACGGGGTATTTAAGTAAATTAATACCTTGTAGGGTTATAGTATAAATACATGGTGTATTGAGTTATTTGTGACTATTGAGAATAATAAAGATCCCTCAGCCGCCGTGGACGTAGGCACATTGCCGAACCACGTAAATCTTGTGTTGTTTACTTTTCTCGATTTTTAATTCGTATGCCATATTGTCATCTTCACTCAACAGTTCGTTGCATGTGAAGCATAGGCCTTTTTCTCTTCGCCTTTGGATTTCTTCATCCGTCAATCGCCGCATGTTGCTTGTTGTGCGGTTCCTCCATCGAACGTTGGTTTGCTCTCGGCCCGTGGGGGCGTCTCCTCGACCGCGGCTTGTGCGCGCCTCGGCTCCGTGCGCACGTCGTGCGGCTTTGCCTTGCGGACCGCCGTGAGGTGGTCCTCGTGTAACCTGGCCTGACTCCATAGCTTCTCGCGTCGACCTCGGCCTATCCAACCTCACTTCAGCCGCAAACTCAGCTTTTAGTCCTCCAACAAACGCCCCTACTAACGCACTTTCGGGCCAATCTCGCACCCTACTAGCAATGCGCTCAAACTCCTTTTGATAATCCCGCAAACTACCTGTTAGAGTAGTATACCCGGCGTTCCAATCAGATTGGACGTATTCTATTTGAAAATACAATCTATTGGAATTATATTAATTAAAAGGCATTACTTTATCTTAAGAGTAAGCATTTATCATATAATTGCACTTAAGATAAAATCCCTAGATCACTTATGGTTATAAGATATGGTTGCGCATAGAGATGGTAATCATGGAACATATCTTGAAAGCCGTGATCTTAAATAAAGTTCCAATTCGATGGATGTTTCGAGATGGGATATTGAATAATCTATAAAAGAATTGCACATAGTATGTATGCTTGTTGGACAAGAATGTTGCATTCCACCAACATTAACGTGGGACGCAAGTACATATATGTGAGTGCTTGTTAGAGAACAAGTTCACTGAACATGACCGTATGAAAATACTTAATGAAAGATTTGTCTTGTCGAATAAGTATTTTCATGTTACAATAGTACATGATTGGTTCTTAGACTTGAGGCACAATAGTAACTTTGTGCATATTACATTCTACTTTGATTTATCCTTTTGGTTGCTAGCACAATCGTATAAAGGGATATTTTGGGTATTATGTTAATATGTATGGAAGTTTGTTAGTGGCCAACAAAGGATTCGACACTTATGAAGATAAGTGAATTTTTTATGTGTTTCATGATTAGTAATTCAAAGTCCTTGGCCAAGGCGGGATGAATAGAGATTTATAAACGAATTACTAAACTTGAAATGGAATCATAGTTATTAAATCAATTTGGGTTTCGACTAAAATAATACCCAAGATTTAATCGGGAAATTGGATGTCGAAAGGATTTTACATGTATGTATTGTAATTGAAATAGGTTTACTCGTTATTCACTTAATACTAGATTAATGCTACTTGCTAGGTGTTCCCATGATATGTGGGTTCATGAATTAAAGGGTTAATTCATGAATAAGAGCTAATAAAGATTAACTCAAATTACAAAGAGTTGTAAATCCACTACTAGTATTAATTGTGAACCTAAAAGGTCACACCAATTTTTGAATGAAGGTAAAATTCAAATAGTAATTCTAA